AACAAATTAGCATTCTGAACCTCTGTTGTAGAGAATGAGATATTAAAATGTAATATATTATGTATAACCTAGGCCTGTCCCTTTACTATTTAATCATGACAATGTGGCAGCATTAGTTAATTGTTCAGATGTTTTTTATTGAAACAGTAAATGCCCTTGTAAAACTAAACACTAGTTTCTTGTTAAATTATTTCAAGGACTAAGCAAAATTCGATTGTTTTTTTAAACAACCGTAAAAAAGTAATGAGTTCGCTAATATTTTAATATGAAATGCAGTAAAATCATCAATCAATCAAAACAGATACTGGGGTATTTAATATTTTACATTAGCACAACTACAATAAATCTGTTATTTTATCAATTATATACACATATGTTTTAAGTAATTATCGTTAACATTTTTGCTTTTCATATTTGTACGTTTATAATTGGAAAATGTGTTTACCATTTAGAATATAAATATTACATATTTTTTTATTCATGTAACGTCTTTTTCACTGTTTGCATCAAATTAAACCGACATGAAATATGGGTACCGCCTTTTTGTTATTTCCAAAATGAACGCAATGTTTTAGAATACAGTTCTGCAATCAGTTTATCAGAGATTCAGTATAAATTATGCAATTAGCGAATTTTCTAATTTGACATAACTGGTTTTATAAATAGTTTATTGATATAAAAAGTACTGTTACTGCTGATACCTGATTTGATCCACTTTCAAAGTGTATAAAAATGAAAGTTATATTCAATACTTTTAATTAAGATTAGTTTTGCTGTTTTAGTTAATGAGTTATATTATTATATCATTATAATATTTCTATATTTCTTCTAAAAATAATCGAAGAAACATCTAGTCGCAGTTTTTGTAAAACATCTTCATCTTAATGATATTCATGGGTAAGATAAATATGTAAGTGCGGAAATATTTAATATATTATAATTATATCATATGTATTTTCTTAAAGTGACATTAATCTCATTTTATACTGTCAAATTGAGCCGAATACGTTATATTTCAAACGAATGACTTTTTTAATGATCATTGACAAATAATTGTTAATGAAATAAGTTAACATAAAATCTAGAAGTAAACTTAATTATAAAAAGACTGACCCACTCGTTACATATTTAAAGCTACCGATATTTCTGAAAAAAATATTTATAGAAATATCCATTTGTCACATTAATTACTGATTATTAGTGCATGCAAAAAAGGCAATTATGGAAAAATGTAAAGCATTCTTGACTTTTTACCAGTGTACTTAGATGGACAAAATGTCACTATACCATTCAAATAATCTCAGTCTCATAAAGGTAACCTTTATCTTACAATTCTACAATTCATGATAACTAAATGAGCAATACACATATTTTTAATTTATTCACACTACTTGGCATTGTGGAGAACATTTGCATCATGTAATACTGAAACCTATCCATTTATGTAGAAGATAAACCAAGAACAAAATATGGACATTTTATCATCTCTCGTGACCCTGACCGGTCGAAATATGCATCTGGCCATAGTTTTAGAACTTTAAGTATGACCTTTACCATGTATTTTTGCAACACCAAAAATAAACTATTGTGCGGGTTTGTTTTAAATCTCAATGCATTAAGAGGTTATGTAATGAACAAGCGATGTTTGTGACCTGTTAATGTAAACTCGACCTTTGTGCCAAAGATGTAGTTCAGACACGACACAATGTCTCATGCTGGTGAAGTAATACTTTAATACCTCCAGGCATGTAGTAGACTACAAGTTGTGTCCCGATTCATGCCTGAAATTGTCATGACGCCGTCCACCCGCCAATGTCGGTCCCTCTCACCATCCCATTTTTAAATCAATAATTAACAATTTATAGTAATTCACAGTAAGATGTTAATTCCTTTTAAGTTTAGAAATATGTGCACTTAATTGTGGCATATAATACTATAATTTCATGCTTACAACATTTTATGTCGTTTCTCTTACAGTAACACTTTTAATAAGTGTTTCTAATTAGGAAACAATAAATTACAGACACTGATTTTATCGCTAAATTAAATCAATGTTTAGAGTTCGGATGCGAAGAATAATATCACGTGGGCATAGCCCACGTGTTTTAATGATGTTTATCCGAACGCCAAACAGAAATTTTATCAAGCAATTAAATCACTGATTGGGATATATTATTTCGATTCTAACACGACATCAGAAAATAAAAGCTGCCGTTCCTGATATCAAGATCAATTTCGCCTGATTTGTTTCAGTACTTTTTTAGCGCGTTACATTTTTTAAGGTTACGTCAAATTACTAATGATTACGTCACATATCTAAAATAGAACGTCAACAGTGATTTTATTGCATAATAACATACACTTTCGTTGGAAAAAAATGCTGGTTGTGTTAGAGTCTGTTGGCTTATAATTAATCATTAAACATCAAAGAAGGGATAATGAAGAAAATTAAGCCCCAATTTTCTAAGATTATAATTATCCAGACATAAAAAGAAATTTCGTTGTGGAACATTTTCTGTCAATACGAAAGACTGGGATTTATTGCTGAACCTAAATATCAATAAATGTGCAGAAGTTAGATCTATAAGAAATTCCTCAATAACGTTAGTTTACATCTCATATCGTTTATATTTTAAACAATCACGGATGTTAGTACTTTAAACAATCTTGAATATTAATATTTTAAACAATCATGAATGTTAATATTTTAAACAATCATGAATGTTAATATTTTAAACTATCATGAATGTTAATATTTTTAAAATCAAAAATATCCTCTATTCTCTGGCATCGTACTCCAGATAGTCTAACTTAGAAGGCAAGATATATTATTCATGAAATACATAAAATATGTAGTAAATAAACAAAAGTAAAATGAAAAAATAAAATTTAACTATATTATGATCTGCTTACTATCACAAATCAAACGTTATTTGATCTAACAATTGTCTTTCTTGTTTGTTATTCCAATTCATGACATGTTCGTCATAATATTTGTAAAAAAGTATCACTTTATAAACGCTATGTTAGCGTTAACCTTTAAGAACATGATATTTAATTAGGAATGGTGTCTAACTTATTACAAAAATGTGAAATGTGATGTACATCATTAAATCTCATTTAAGTCACTTACTTTGTCAATTATCACCGTCGATCCCCCTTTATATCACCTTTTGATCTAGGTATTGTTTTTCTTTGTTGTACAGTTACAACTATTACACTTCAAGAAGGGGGAAAAGTTATGACACTGGATTTTGTTCAATTGTCTCATATCAAAGGTCATTGGTAATATAGGTCTTTACACTGACTGAAATTTGAGCAAAAGATACATACTTTTTAATTAAGCTCTGAAGCTAAATCATTGGCATGCTTAATTCGAAATATTCTTAAAAATAAATAAGGTTACTAAAATAGACTAATTTAATTTTTATTTATGGGTTGCCCAACATGTTCTCAGAAAAATAACAATAACCTTGGCGTGACGTCACGTCATAGCACGCGCCTGTTGTTGCCTTTCCAGAAAATCTATTTTGTGAGAGAGAAAAACGGTGCATATACTCTTATATTGACCTGTTATTTCTTGCAAAAAGATACTTCGTAGCCAATCAGAGAAACGCATTTCAAAGCTATTTATAGATTAAATAATAAACATGTTCGTACAGAAATGTATCGTAGAAATTCGAGCAATCACGCATAAATGTTTTTAGCAATAAAACGTCGTGTATGTTACAAAACAAAATATATGTTTTGTTTCTAGGAAACAAAATAACAATATATGGAATCGGACTCGTTTACATAAAAGTATTCAAAGTAATTTATACCTTGCAAAACCTAAGATGACAGTTCTCCTTTAAGTATAATTCGTAATTCTTCCTGAAACATAATTCTTACCGATAAACCATAGAAGTTTTTGCTGAGATAACAAAATATGTTTGACTTCTCTTTAATAGATCACCATTAATGGTTAGCGTACACTTAAAATTCCACATCTTATAAACGTTTTTGTATGAATATTTTTAATTTCATTTCATTTTATCACGCCACCGTCAATTAACTCCCATTGTCAGATATTACTCTATACTGAATGTAGTTCAATTTATTGTGACATTTTTCATATCAGAGCTTTTAATAAAATATGCCTTTTTTATCTTATTAAGATATTGGTTAAAAATAAAATAAATGTACAATTATAAAGAATATTGGCTTATGCTAGATGTAATATAATTAGACAGTTAAATACATGTATACACATCTACACATTAGAATGAGTGAAAACGGAAAAAGTGAGAAAAAAATATAACGTTACATAACGCATGTACAAAGTTCTGTTTTCACAAATTTTACATACCTTTTGTATCTTTTATTAACTTGAGTTCCAATTTGAAACATATCTTGCATCACAGTTAACAATTGTATTTATACTTTTCATTTAGAACATATTTCATGAATAAGCAGTCAAACGTTTCATAAAACAATAACATTGTATATGATTTAATTTGTTGTTTATTATAACAACCTCCTTTCCCGAAACCATATAACACGGGAGTGTTGCATAAACTTAAGTCTGTTTTGTCATCATTAGTGTCTTATACGTCACTTTAATAAGAGGCAATGCATTATATATATATAATTATTTCTGAAAGAAGCAATTTCATACATAAACTGATGTCAAAAGTTATTGAAATAACTAACTCCCACTCTAAATAACTCCAATTCTAGGTAACTCCCGAATTTGTGTCTGCACAAAAAAAGTTGTGATGAATCATTTTTCTAAAGAAGCTTTGTGACCAACAAAATGCACAATGAATTCTTTAAAAGGCTTTTGATAGTGTTTATTTAAACGGCTTATGGCTTAAGCTATTTAAGCTTGGAATTAATGGCAAAATGTTGAATATTATTAGAAGTATGTATAATACAGTTAAATCATGTGTCCAATGTTGCAACTCTTATTCTGAGTTTTTTGAATGTGCAGTTGGTTTAAAACAAGGAGAAGTTATGTCCCCTTTATTATTTTCATTATTTATAGAAGACTTAGAGTTATTTTTGCAAGAAGATTACACTTGTGGCCTTACGATAGATGACATTACCTTCATTTTGATGCTTTTTGCTGATGATATGGTTATATTAGGTAGAACACCTTCAGAACTTCAAAAACACTTTGATATGCTGAAAATATATTGTGATAAATGGGGATTATCAGTAAACACTAGCAAAACTAAAGTAATGGTTTTTAGAAAACGTGGGAATACAAAGCAAAATGAAACATGGACCTATGCTGGCAATAGCTTAGAAGTAGTAAATGATTTCAATTACCTTGGTACAGTGTTTAATTATACTGGAAACTTTGCATCTAATCAAGAATACATAGCTGGGAAAGGACTCAAAGCCCTTAATATCTTAATGACTAAAATTAAAGCTTATAAAATAAGCCCACAGACTGTGTGTCAACTCTTTGATGCTTTTGTAGGTTCAATTCTAAATTATGCTTGTGAAATCTGGGGTTTTTCTAAATCAAAAGAAATTGAACGAATACATTTAAAGTTCTGTAAACAACTACTTAATGTTAAAACTTCAACAAGTAACATGGCCATATATGGTGAATAAGGTAGATATCCTCTTTACATAAACAGATATACAAGAATGATAAAGTTTTGGTGTAAAATATTGACATCTGATAATATTATTATAAATACTCTGTATAAAGAATTATGTAAATCAGTAGATACTACAAATGTTAGGAACTGGGCAACAAATATTAGGTCCTTACTAAATGACTTTGGTTTTTCATATGTGTGGAATAATCCTAATGCTGTGAATATGAATACTTTCCCAGACATTTTTAGGCAGAAAGTATATGATGTCTTTGCATGGTTCAATTCTGTAAATAATTCAGAAAAACTTTATTTATATAAACACTTTAAAACATGTATTGATTTTGAAATTTACCTGAATGTGTTGCCTAGCACCCTTCGGAATTCACTGTCTAGATTAAGGTTGTCATCCCACAAGCTACGCATAGAAACTGGTAGATATGCACAGAACCGAATAGAACGAAACCAGCGTTATTGTACTATCTGTAACGAAAGAGATATAGAGGATGAATACCATTTTGTTATCAAATGTAAAGCCTACATGCCTTTAAGACAGATGTATATAAAACCTTATTTCTATAGAAATCCTAGCGTGTATTAATTCAATGAATTATTACAGTCAAAAAAAGGTTGGTGTAATAAAAAATTAGGTAAATTTGTTTATGAAGCGTTTAAGCTTAGAGAAACATTAAATTGACATGAAATATTTGTGAAATGTAAATGTTTGATACCTGTTTTAAATATAATTCAACATGCACAGGCCTGTATTACTTTTGTATTTTTTTTTCTACAGTACGGTAAAATTGTAATAATAGACAATATATTAATGTTAAAATTAACTAAATTTATGTCTATATTTGGTATCTGTTCATGACATTGTAAAATTTACGTTTTTTTTCCTCTCTGTTTTTTTACTTATAAAAATGTATGATACAAGCTTCGACAGATGTTTTAGAATTATGTACAAAGATGTATATCATAGAGATGTATTATAAGTTATTTCATGCAGTGACATTTGCTAACAAAACATAGTCACAACCTATGGGCTTTTTACATAATTTTGGAACAGTGTTTACATCATGTATATATAAACTTGTACATGTGTACTATACATCAGTTGAGAATTATCTAATATCATGTTATTACGGGCAAATGTCGCTGCATATATTTGTTTGGAACACCTGCTCTGTACATTTATGTAACATACTGTCATATTTTTAACTTACCTACTCAAATATATATCCAGTAATGCGGTCAAATATGTTGAAAATCTTTTTCCAGTCATGAAGCGTGGTCGCAAAAAGGCGTGACGGTTTATTATTTCCGGTCTCCATATTTGGCATGGGGACGGTAATGATTGGTTGATATTAGTAAATAACAATGACGTCGATAAAGTTTATGAATGGGCAAATGATTGTTTACTTTTGGTTTTCCTTATATGGTAATGTTTACTACGGAAATAGCTTACAGGTATTCTGACCCAATTACGGATATCTTCACTGCAATTTTACACCTTCATGTATATATGTAATGGACCGAACGGACCTGTCTCACTCGAATGCTTGAATTGACTTGTTCATTATTTAGCAGTTATGAACTTGATTATTTATATAATGATTTATGTACATTATGTTTGTGTATATGTATATGACGAGAAACTATGTAGTTTAAGTCAATAAAATGTTCTTCTTCTTCTTCTTCTTCTTCTTCTTCTTTAAGAAATAGTTCAACCTATTATTGGATTTCATTGAGTGAGCTTTAAAAAACAGTATTCTCACGAGTGGCGTAGCCACTCGTGAGAATAATGTTTTTAAAGTTCACTTTTTATTTTATGCTTACAAACAAGTTAAAACGAAATTTCCTTGATATTAACTTTAATATTATAATCTGTTTTCCCCACTGGTAGCCTCTTTGAGTCGAATTTCTCATAAAATGCAAGAACCCTTGAGCTTACAAGTCGACAATTAACGTTAAATTGGGATGATATAATTCATTTTATTCAAATAATATGAATGATTGATTGTTTTAATAATAAAAAACAAACAATTCTAGTAGGAGAACAAGTCAAACCATTCATCCATATTTCTGTTACTTACGGCGAATTTATATTAGACTTGGGTCTGTGAAATGTAAGCGGCCGCCATTCTTTAAAATTATGTATTTCTTGGGAGGAAAAAATAATTCTGTTTGATTCAGGGGATATCATTTGGATTTGCTAGTCATACATCTTTTAAGAAGAAAGAAAATTTATTTGAGGATTGTTCCAGACAATGAATAAGTGTTGACAGATGTGCAAACATTCAAAAAGCTGCTAGGAAATCGGAAAACATGGCACTTTTGAAAGGCTGCCTTATGAACTTACGAACGCTGGGTTATTACTTTATTCTTCGGGCTGATGTCTGTCATTGCTTTTCAAGTTATTACGCAGTTATTGCTCGTAGGATACTAAAATATGCCCAAATGTCATCAAGAGCAGTTTTGCATGTGGCAGGAATTGTGATTTTCAGACTGTAAAAATGAAACAAAAATTTAGAGACGATATTTGGTGATTGGTAATTTGAATGAATTGAAGTAAGTTTTCTTCTTTTTAATTACTTTTGAAATTTCAGGTATTTATCAATTTCAGCTTTGCTTTTCTCTAAACAGCCCTGACAATGTCAGAAATGTCAACAATGATAAAATTGAGGTACTGCATGGGGAAAATCTTAAAAGTAGTCTCATCATGAAAAAAGTGTGAAATCATATTTTGATTATTTTCACTGTAAAATTTTCAAATATAATTTTCACGGATAATCCACTGAAAAGCATAAAATCAAATCATATAAACAAGAATTAGGAGTTGTTCTTTCAGTAACCAGTGTATTCTCAGTGTTACGCTTACCCCCATATAAATGCTCAGTTAATGAACATAAAAGACATTCCATATTGTATGACATGAAATCATAATTCAGTGTGTTTTAAGCGCAGTTGTTACATAACTTTGTGAAACTGTGTTCAGTAAACAATCCACACGAGCCGATAATGGAAAAATGAATTTCTTACATAGACCAGCTTGTTCACTTAACACCAAAAGATATGCAACCGATAATTAGGAAATATATTCAGAAAAGAATTTAAAATCGTACTTTTGTGTGAGTTTCAATATGATTATTTTTATATAAGTAACAAGCGTTCGTCTGGACCTACATCAAATTGAACATTAATTTTTCCAGTCTCGTCATGTCAAAAAACCTCAGTGGAGTCCCTTTAATACAAAATTTTACAACAGTTGAACCTTCTTTATTGTCCTCGTACATTAAGCCATATATTGTCTCTCAGTAAATAAATGCCATCTTTTCTTTTGGTAATTTAATATTAGCTTTGATAAGAACTTTATCATATTTGATATGTTTTATTCTTATCTATGTCCGCAGTGTATATAGCATATTTTGTATTTTGTTTTGTTTATATTCTTGGAAAAAAACATGTCGACTGTTAAATCTTAGACAAACTATCATTTTATTTTTTTTTGTAAATTATTAATGCAAATAATAAAAAAAGTTTACTTTGCAATATTTTTCATAAACTCATAACAACCTTGATATTGGATATATTTTTTACATTTCTATTCATATTTCTAAACTTCTAACGCTGCAGTTTCCCCATCCGATCGACCTCCATTGTCCATTATAATAGTAATTGACGTGATGATGACGCTCTAAACAATTCCGTTAAAGACTGTATATGTTTGTGAAATTTTAGACCAGTATAGATAGTATTCTCATTGATATGTTCGGATAACGCTCCCACTTCTTTTCATTATTATAACTACGTTACAATATCCGATACCAAATTATAGTTGTGTTAATAAAACAAACGGCAGCTTCACACATCGATGTTACTATTTTATACTGGTAAAGGAAATGTCTTTAACGGTTCATATTACATGTGACGAACTATGAAACTATAGACATATATATATTATTACGTTTTTACGTTAATGAAATCAAAGAATTCTACTCCGGCAGCATATAAAAGTAAGACGTGAACAGAGAAAAATTAAAACAGTTAAAGTAGGTACTGGACTTGGACACAAAAGGTAAGAGACAAATTATATCTATGTTTCTTGAGATATTCTAGTTATATTTGGATATAATGAATATATTTTTATATTTAAAACTTTTGAAATCATATTGTAATATAAAGAATACAAATATTTTATATTTTGTATCAACTTGCAATATACCGTTATTACAGTGGTTTGTGTTTATTATCATTATTGGTTTTAAGGTTGTTTGTTATTGTTCCTTTTTGTTGATAATTTTTTAATTAATTTTCATAGGATTTCCTCTTTTTATCATTTGTTTTTAAATATTTCTCAATCCAAAATCCACTAAAACCCTTAAATTTATATGTATATATTATAGAACTATGTGCTAGAATTTTAAATACAGAGGACAATTTAGTTTCTGAATTATCATCTCGTTATTAGATAGATAAATACCAGAAGAAATACCAGCATTAAATGCACTTAATAATATGAATATAACGTCTAGATAAAATAGATATAATATACCTATATTACAACAGAAATCGTCAAAAAGTTATTAAATTTAAATGTTGTTAGTTTGAAATTACATTAAAACAGCTTTTTTTCCGTATTTTTTTTTAAACTTTAATCTAAAAAAACATTTGATATTTCATTTTAGTTTTTATATTTGATCTTTTTTAGTAGATCAAAACATTTTTACATAAAAACATTGTTTTGGTTTTGTAATTTAAAATTGATAACATTTCCCGTATAATGTTCATGTTGGACTGGAATTTCATTAACTGCGAATAACCATAAAAATTTTCAAATCTTTAAAAAAATACTGAGTAAAGGTACTTTAACATTATTGTTTCTATTTATTTATATTGTATTCGTAATCTTGATTTTAAAAGATTAGAATGAAACATGTTTCTCCAAACAAAAAAGAATAAAGAAAACTTTCAAAACGAATTGCTTTAAATATAAATATCAAAATAAATGCTTAGAAATTTTATATTCAATTATTCATAATTAATTGTCAAGCATTTGAACGTTTAATATAGGATTTTAAGTTTAGGTTTTGACATTTAAAATCAAATATCGTGATTTGTATGTTCAAATTTAAATGTTCACAATTTAATTTACGAAAAATATGTTTCTTTTAATATTTTAATTCAATTGATTAGATTTTTTTATAAACCCTCATAAATAAGTAAGTTAAAATCGTTTTCTAACCTTGAAAATGTTTTTTTTTTCTTTTTATTGCCAATAATTGTCTCTTATTTGTTTGTTTCCATCCTCATTTTCTTGATATATGATTGATTGCACAATAGTATGGTAAATAGAATTCTACCATTATTCTATTTTCTCTTTATCTGTAATCTGTCCAAATGAACCGATTATTTTCAATCACTTATATGGGACTGACTTTAAGCAGCACAATACTTTAATAAACATGTGTGTCAACTGTCAAAAGAATGGACACAACGACAATTTCAATTTTCCTTGTTGGGCGTTCTTTATGTTTCTCTTACATGAAGCCGATAATCTCTTTATTTTGATAGCATGTTTTTCTTGACATTTATGTATGTACCTTTATAACAAAGGAACATATTGTTTTATTATCAAACTAAACAACATATTGGACACTTTTTATCAAAAAGTACAACGCCATTAACACGTTGTATTGTCGTCGTCATAAATTTGATATTTCTTCTTCGAGAACAATTTATCACAATGCTATTATAATAAAATTAGTTTCTAACAAAAAAAATAATTTATTACATTTCAGGTTACAGATGGTGATGAACACATTTCAAATAGTTGCCATGACAATGGTAAAAGTTCTATGTGTATTAGTCATTTACAAACAAACGTGGTCTGTAAACGCTAAAAAATTAGGTAAGATTCATTTTTGTCACATAATGATATGGTAGATATATATAATTGGATATTAAGCCAAAGGTTACAACCCCTGCGTTTAAGTTGTTAAGGTAAATGAGATAGCTGTAAAACGTTTCTCTGGCTTAAACTTGTTACTGAACTTGTCTTTGGTTTTATTTTCAATTTCCACACCTTCATGAAAAGAATAAAACCGGCATGTAAAAGGAAATCGTATACATTTCTTATAATTAGTTTGCCTTTTGAACAAATATTTTTTTTACTTTTTATTTACAAACAGGATGTCGGGAAATGTTGTTTCAAAATATAAAGAATGATTTAGTTGAAGACAAAATCACAAAAATTCACTTGGAAATATA